TTCGTATGTGGGGCTACTACGTGTCGTCTCTCAACCAGCCAAGTAGATTTTGCAGTTAAGTTTAGTATTGGTGTTAGTGGTGGTAGTAATGTCAGCTTGCACTCGTTGTATACGTGGTGGTGGTGGTGTTAGTGAGTGGTATTCGTAATGTGAGTGTTGGTAGTAATATTATTGTAGGTAACACTGGTTGTGTAGTAGAAATGGTGTATTCGTAGTCCTCGATGACGGTGATTGTCATAATGTTGGTGTAGGTAGTAATAGTAGTGTATGTATTACTGGTGCTCGCCAGTGCGTTTAGAGATCAGATCCTTGCGATTCCTCTAAACCACCAGTAAGTACGCGCTGGTGGAGGGAGTGGTGTAAATGAGTGTGTGGTTATAATTCATATACAATGGTGTTGTGGTAGTAATTCAATTTGAATTCAATTGAATTGAATGAAACTAATTGAATCAATCAAAATGGATTGAGTCAAACGAATTGAACCAATCTAATTGGATCAAATCAATCTCATCGATTGAATCAACAAAATCGAATTGAATAATCTAATAGAATTGAATTAATCGAATCGAATTAAATTAGTCAATCGAATTGATTCAAAGAGATTGAGTTAATAAATTTGAATTGGGCCAATCAAATCGAATTTAATAATCAATTCGAATAGAATCGATCGAATTGAATTGCACCAATCGAATCAAATTGAATCAATCGAGTTGAATTGAATCAATCGAATTGAATTGAATGGATCCAATTAAATTGAATCGATCGGATTGAATTGAAACGAACGGATTGAACTGAGTCGATCGAATTGAATCGAATTGAATTGAATTGAATCGATCGAATTGAATTGAATTTGAATCGATCCAATTGAATTGAGCTCAGTGTAAGTGAAGTGAATTGCATTGCCTGGGCAGACGTGGACGAGTGCGGGCCGGGCGGCGCGGGCGCGGGGCGGTGCGGCGCCGCGGGCCGCTGCCTCAACACGCTGGGCTCGTTCGCGTGCCGCTGCGCCCCGGGCTTCCACGCGCTCTCCCCGCGCGGGCCCTGCGCCGACCGCGACGAGTGCGCCGTCGCCAACGGCGGCTGCTCGCACCAGTGCGTCAACACGCCAGGTGAGCCACGCGCGCGCCCCCTCCGACCCTTACGTCGAGCCCGGAAAGTAATCACGTGTATTCTCCAAAAAATGGAATTGATTGATCTGGTGATTGATTGATAGATCCCTTCCTCCCTCTCTTTCGTCAAGCCTGGATTCGAGTTAATGGAAAGCTACAAGCACGGGACGTAATCACGTGTGTTCTCCAAAAGAATTTAATTGATTGATTGATTGATTGATTGCCCTTCCCTGCCTCCTTCTCATACGTCAAGCCTCTATTCGAGTTAATGGAAGGCTACACGCACGGAACATAATCACGTGTATTCTCCAAAAAATGAATTGATTGATCAGTTGATTGATTCATTGCCCCTCCCTGCCTCTCTCTCTCACGTCAAGCCTCTATTCGAGTTAATGGAAAGCTACGCGCAAAGAACGTTATCACGTGTATTCTCCAAAAGAATTTAATTGATTGATCGGTTGATTGATTGATTGATTGCCCCTCCCTGCTTCCCTCTCTTACGTCAAGCCTGTATTGGAATTAACAGAAAACTACGCACACGGAACGTTATCACGTGTATTCTCCAAAAAAATTAATTGATTGATCGGATGATTGATTGTCTCTCCCTGCCTCCCTCTCTTACGTGAAGCCTGTATTCGAGTTAACGTAAAGCTACGCGCACGGAACGTAATCACGTGTATTCTTCAAAAAAATTGAATTGTTTGATCGGTTGATTGATTGATTGATTGCCCCTCCCTGCCTCCCTCTCTTACGTCAAGCCTGTATTCGATTTAAAGGAAAGCTACGCGCACGGAACGTAATCAGTGTATTCTCCAAGAAAATTGATTTATTGATCGGTTGATTGATTTATTGGAAATTCTGAACGCAGCAACTGCGGAGCTCGTTAGTCCAGCAAGTGTAGTCCATGTTTTAAATAGGTGGTGGTGGTGGTGGTGGCGGTTATATTTCCCGGCTTGCGAGGATTTTCTCTAACTAGGTATCTCCCACCTGTGTGGTATCCCTCCCCTATCCGGGACAAGCTCTAAGCTTGCGACTGGTCTCCCGTCATGTGTGGTAGTCTAGTGCATGTGTGTGTGAGTGAGAATATGGCAAAGAAGAGGAAGGAAAGACCGCGTGCGGACCGTGGCTTGTTTATTAGAATACTGCTACATTCGCCTGGTGTTTATCCACGAAACCACGAAAAACTATCGATCAGAGCTGCCGTACACTAGAGGTATCCTCCAGACAATGCCTGAATTCCACCTACCTGGCAAGCTAGTGTCGAAAATTCTGACACCGTCAGGACTCGAACTTAGGACCTCCTGTTGATTAGTTGATGCCCTGAGCCAGCTTTGCCTATTTTTTCCAAAAAACATTCGATACACAATCAATAGTTATGTCTGTCAATTACAATCAGTAATCACATATTTTGTCTTTGTCACTTTGATGTGATCTCTAAACAAGCACCGACCGGTAAATCCTAGGGTTCGAGCCCCGACAGAGGCGGATTTTTGATAGTAACTACACAGCTGAGACGAATTCAGCCTTTGTCTAATAAGGAATTCAAGCGGGAGGCTTCTCTGGTCAGTAGTTTTCTGTGGGATGTCTGATCAACATCAGGAGAATGCCGGAGGCGTACCCTAATAAAGGGACATCGGATCGCAAGGGATCATTCCTTCCTTTCTTGTCATATCCTCGCCCCTTACTTCCACTCACTTAACATGCACAATATGTGAGAAGGATACTCGCGAGCTTAGAACTGGTCTTTGTGGATGCGGTTCCTCACTGGAGGGAGATACTTGGAGGGGCAAACCGGCATGAACGTCGGCGCCGGATCTCACCATCCAGTATGGTTGATCCGGCACTACCACCTTACAGAACAAAACATTCCCTTCACTCGCCAGACCAATGACCGTAGTAGTTGATGCGCCCAGAAATATCGGTCAATAAATCAGTGTTACCAAATTTGCCGCTGAAAAGTCTGCAACTAAGGATCGAAAAAGCGCATCTATTGACAAGTTGATGGCCGCGCCAAACAAATATGTGAAAAGAAAGTCATCTCTACGGAAAGGAATCTCTACGGTTACTATCCCTGACTTACAGTCGCTTCGAAATGACACAAACGTATCAACATCGGGTTGTTTGCTATTGTCAGAGAAATAAACTTTTCTTCCTCGCCGAGAGTAAACTGAACCGCCCCGTCAGTTCGTCGCCTGTTGCTCTTAGGGCGTCCAGAAACAGAAAAGCGAAAATCCTCGACAGAGTTTCATCTAAAGTGATAACACAAATACTCTCTGCCTCGTCCGTTACGTGCCGCTGACTCCGCCATCAGAGGTCTAAAAATTCCCCGTCTTGAACAAAGCGATGATAAAAAAAGAAACTAACCCAACTTTCGCCCCACACACGACTCCTTGAGCGGATTTCCGCATTTTTTTCCACACGCGAAGCCTTTTTTCCGCCCAATTGGCGGAATTCCGCCCAATGTGGCATCCTTGGCCATCTCTCCGCAAGTCCGCTTGCACCCGATTGCCTTTACGCAGTTTACTTAAGTGTCCGAAAACCTTATTGTTATATCCGCTTTCAACCGAGCATCCGAAAAGAAAGTAATATTAATTTTAACAATGACATTTAACGTGTCATTTACCATTTGGATTGTATAATTGTAAAGAACCTGTAACAAGTATTGTTCTTCAGCTTCTGGGTCAATTACCCCCATCTCGATCAGGTTTTCGTCTAGTTTCCCTGATCCTTGAGCAAATGCTGAGATGGCCCCTTGTTTTGCTTCTGGACATAAATGTAACTTCAAATTAACTTCTCCCCATAGCACGTCACACACAGTTTTTAACTGTATTTAACGTAAATAAAAAATAAGCTCCCTTCGGTTAATAAAATAGCTCACTGTTATATCCAAGATTGGGCAAAATAGTTTAAATTTAGTATTTAAATATTTCGCTAAAATACTTAATAAGTATTTAAATACCTCCACAAAATACATTAGAAACACATTTGTTAAATACATACTTATTGAAAATACTTCAAATACCCAATATACGTAATTATATTGTTTTGTATTATATATTTTACTGCAACAATAAATTGTAATGTCATTTACAGTAAATTAGAAATTGAAAGTCATACAAATTTCTGAAGAATAACTATTGCACTATATTGTAACCACATGTATATAAATATTTTCAAACAAAATGATACAAAAAATATGTCTAACGCAAAGAAATGAAAATTCCTTTTAAAACGACTATTTTTTTAAATAAATGATCATACAAGAAACCCCTGGTTGGCAAATGTAGAAAGCCTTCAAAGGAAAACAATTATTCAAATGACGTGAATGTACATAAATGTACACTGTAATGTACACTCTCTCCCTCTCTCTCTCTTTCCTACTCTCTCTCTTTCCTACTCTCTCTCTCCTTCCTCTCTCTCTCCTTCCTCTCTCTCTCCTTCCTTTCTCTCTCTCCTTCCTCTCTCTCCCCTTCCTCTCTCTCTCCCCTTCCTCTCTCTTTCCCCTTCCTCTCTCTCTCTCCTTCCTCTCTCTCTCCTTCCTCTCTCTCTCCTTCCTCTCTCTTTCCCCTCTCCCTCTCTTTCCCCTTCCTCTCTCTCTCCTCCTTTCTCTCTCCTCTCTCTCCTTCCATCTCCTTCATCTTCCCTATCTCCGTCTCTTCCTCTCTTCCTCTTCTCTTATCTCCCTTCTCTTCGTCCTCTCTCTTTCCCCTTCCTCTCTCCTCTCCCCTTCCTCTTCTCTCTCTCATTTTCTCTCTCTCTCTCATCCTTTCCTCTCTCTCATCCATTCTCTCTCTTCTCTCCATCTCTCTCTCTCATTCTCTTTCTCTCACTACTTCTCTGAAGAGAGGTGTTTGAAAACAAGGGCTGGGTTGTTGGCCGTCGCGTGCGCAGGCAGCTTCCGCTGCGAGTGCCCGGGCCGGGTGGGCGGGCGGGGCGGCGAGGCCTAGCGGGCTGCTCGGCGGACTGCGACGGAGTTGCGCCGAGGCGCGCGCCGCGGGGCTGCGCCTGTGCTCGCACGTGTGCCGCAACGCCGAGGGCGGCTTCGCGTGCGCCTGCCCGCACGGCCTGGCGCTGGCCGCCGACCGCCGCTCCTGCCTGCCCCCGCAGCACCAGCAGCACCTCCGGCCGCGCGCGCGCGCGAACCCGCACCCGCCGCAGCAGCACGTGGTGCACCTGCAGGCGCACGCGCTCGCCCACGCCTTGCACGGGTAATTCATTCTCTTGTTCTTTTATTTAGTTCATTCACTTGTTCTTTTATTCTGGTATTTTGTCAGTTATTTTTTTATTCCTTTATTTTTTTGATGCAGTTATTCGTTTATTCACTTATTCTTTTATTCAGGTATTGCTTTATTCAATTATTTTATTCAGGAATTTTATTTAGTTACTATTATATTCAGTTATTCTTCCGTTGCTTTATTCATTTATGCAGTTATTTTTTTATCCCGTTACTCTTTTTTTCATTTATTCTTTTATTCCGTAATGATTTTATTCCGTAATGCTTTTATTCCGTAATGTTTTTATTCTGTATTTTTTATTGCGTAATTACTTTATTCCATTATTATTTTATTCCTATATTCTTTTATTTCGTTACCCTCTTATTTCGTTACTCTCTTATTTCGTTACTCTCTTATTTCGTTACTCTCTTATTTCGTTACTCTCTTATTTCGTTATTCTTTCATTCCGTTTTTCTTTTATTCCGTTATTATTTTATTCCATTATTCTTTTATTTCATTATTTTTTATTCAGTTATTTTCTAATGCTGTTATTATTTTATGCAGTTATTCTTTAATATAATTCATTTTTTGTTATGAAATTATTTGTTTTATAAATGTTATATTATTAAGCATGTCCCCTCGCAGAAAAATTGTTATAATATATTTTTGATTTGTCCAATTGGTTTAAAATGTTTTGTAAATATGATGTATAAGTTAAAAGTTCTTAGAAATGCTCTTGCATAGGTGGGAACAATTTGTATTTGCTTAAAAAATAATAGTCAATCCGTGCGTCCACTACCCCTCTGCGCTATGTTGATTACATCACTTCATTCATTCATGTTTTTCTTTCGCTCTCTCTCTCCCTCTGTTTTTATCTCACTCACTCTCACCTATCCTCTTTATGCTTCTCTCTTTTTCGCACTGTTTATCTGCCTCTTCGACGTCTCTCCATACCTTCCTCTGTGCATCCCACTCTTTCTCACTCTTCCTTCCTCTCTCTCTCTCTCTCTCTCTCTCTCTCTCTCTCTCTCTCCTCTCTCACACTGCCTTCCTCTCCCTCTGCCTCTTATCTTTCCCCTCCCTCTGTCACTACCTCTCTTTGTATCGGTCTCCCTACCACTTCCACTTCTCTCTCTTCTCCACTCTCTAGCTCTGTCTCTTTCGTTGTTTCCTTTCATCTCTACCTCTCACTCAGTGTTTCGTTCTGCCTTCCTCCCTTGCTCTACTTAGTACCCCATTTACGAAGCGTTAACAATTTCTTAATTGGCTCCAGTGCTTTCATGTTCTATAGTAACTCTAATAACTTTATGGATGTGTAAAAGCAGCAGTAGCACGTGGCCACAAACTAGGAAGGAAACCTCGATGTAGATGTTTTCATATCATCGATGTCTTAATCATCGGTATTTTAAAGCCTTGTTTTTTTCAGCATCGACGCTTTGTGCTCGAGGTTTTTTATGTTAATGAATAATTTCTTTAAACACAATTTTGTAAATTTAAAATATGAAACAATATTGGATGTCAGGTTATGTGTTCAAGATAAACGAGCACTGTTCCTACTACTATCATCAACCAGGCTCTCTCTCGTACTATATGACTATGATATTCTAGTATTTTCTAAGTCTTTCCTGGTATTTTGAATTCCAGACGCAGTCAATGCAAGTATATGAGAGTAGTTCCTCCCCCTTCTTACCGTATACTTCTTCGACGAATTGAAGACTGACCCTTTGAAATGACCCTGGGTGATGATGCTCAGTTTTGTCAATTGATTTTTTAAACTTTTTTTCAGTTAAATCTTAATTAAAAATTAATAATCCCAACCAAAATCAAATTAAATTTTGTTGCGCAAGAATTGAATGTTAGAGGTTACTACTCGTAGTTGGAGGTTAGAGATCAGAGCTAAACTAACTTTAAAACATTGATTCTTAAAAACATCGAAGTTTTTTGGTCGATATATTATTAACATCAGTGTTTTAAATTTGAATATTGATGCTTTGAAACATTTTTAACATCGTAGTTTTGCTGTTATCGTATCCCTACTGCACATCCAGGCGTTCTAGTGTGTACGCTGATGGTCGTCGTGGTTCTTGCAACTTCTCTGAGCGTTTGTGAGTGCTAGTGAAGGTGATTGGAGACTCGTGTGATGCAGGCTGGGCTTCAACCACACGCACAAGGTGGTGATCATGGAGGAGCACCCGGACCATTCAGGTGAAGCCCACAAGGACATATCGGTGGCGGTGATTTCGGCCCAGCCGCCCGAACACGCGCATCACCACGACGAACCGGACACCAGGTGAGACTAGTGTAATCTTAATGTAACCAAACGTCTTTACGTAGTACAGACACGTCTAACCGCGCCCGCACGTGATACTTGCCCGCCTGGAAAGCGCTTCTACGAGCACGGACAACTCCCCATGACTCAGCTCTCACTTACCCTACAAATCCAGAAAGGGCTGTTCACGCGCAAGCTAAATCGGTGCGTGACGGCGAGTAGTGAATTCTTAAGAAAATATATTTGCAAGATTTTTTTTGTATCAAATAACCGAGAATTGTATTGTATTTATATTCTTCACTAATTAGTACTAGTTTGGTTTATTTTCTTGCAAAAATTCTTCCTTTCACAAAAATCTTTGCTAAGTGAGCGGAATATATTTGAATGGAGAATTCTTTTCTTCTTTTCGTTTTGTGTTGTGATACTTAAATCATTCACTTATTTATTGTATTTATCAATAACGTGAAATAAATTGTGATGTAAAATAATGTGAAACAAGGCTCTATAAATTAACAATTTTCGCTTACGGGCGGACAGCGCTTTTTAACGAGCGAGGATACTTTTCTGTTAATCCTCCCAACCTGAACGTAGAAATTTCATGCTTGTATCTTTCATGCTTTGTAATCCTGTTTAAGTAAACGGGTCGTGAGAAAAACACATGCACTACACTTACGGGACTAATGTTCCTCTGTAAGTGTCGCGCCCGGAATCACTAACAATCAATCAATTAATCAATCAATCAATTAATCAATCAATGAATCAATCAATCTTGGTGAGAGCGCCGTGTGCTTTGCGTCAGGTCGGCGCAGGGCGACGCGCCGGCGGCGCCGGTGGCGGCGGAGGCGGCGGGGGCGGCGGAGAGGGCGGCGCGTGCGTGCGTGCCCGCGTGCCGCAACGGCGCCGTCTGCGACACCACACGCGGCGCCTGCACCTGCGCCAAGGGCTTCGCCGGCCGCTTCTGCCAGATCGGTGAGCGCACCCTCGCCCTTCTTCTTCTTCTTCTTCTTCTTCTTCTTCTTCTTCTTCTTCTTCTTCTTCTTCTCCTTCTTCTTCTTTCTCTTCCCCTGACTCATTCGCCCTCATATTTTCTATCCCCCTCTCTCCCCCTCCCCATGTCACTCTCCTCTCTCTCTCTCTCTCTCTCATTTTCTCTCCCACTTTTACTCTCTCACCTCTCACATTCTCTATCTCGCTCTCACTCTCTCGCTCTCAATCTGTCTTACTATCATTCTCTCCCCACCTCTCACTCACTCTGTCTGCCTCACTATCTCACTTCCTCTCACTCTCCCGCACTCACCCTCACTCTCTCTCACACTCACTCTTTCCCTATCTCACACTCTCTCAATTTCTCTTACTCTAATTCTCTTTCCCACTCTCACTCACTCGCTCTCACTCTTCCTCACCTTCTTTTCCACACTCCCCCCATTCCGTTCACCCAGATTCCACCTATTTTTAACTGTTTCTCTGTTGTATCTCCCTCCATCAACTTCACTCATCTTCTCTCTTGTCCGACTCTTTGTGATTCTCTCCATTTCTATCTCGTTCCTTGTGTCTGTTACTCTGGCGTTGTGTTATCTATCTCCCGTATCTATCTGCCTTCATCTCTCTGGTCTCTTTCTGCGTTCCACTTCCTCCTCATTTCTTCTCGTATTTTTTCCCCGTTCTCCTCTTCCTCTTCTTCTTCAGTCTCACTCTCTTTCCCCTTGCACGTGCGCAGACGTGAACGAGTGCCAGCGCTCGCCGCCGCCATGTGCGCACGGCTGCGTCAACTCGTTCGGCAGCTACCAGTGCCTGTGCCCCGGCGGCCAGCGCCAGGCCCCCGACCGCCTCTCCTGCCTCCCCGACACGGCCACGGCCCCCGGCGCAGGTGAGTGCACTCGGCGAACGACACTTTGCGTGCAAGAAAAGGGGGGGGGGAAACTACTCGTATAATTGGAAATATCAATTAAAAGATTCTTAGTTCTAATTGTTTGCAGTTGTGAAATTGTGTTCGGGTTTTAGAAGTTTTAACTATCTGCAGTTTGAATTAAATGAGGTTCGAATTGTGAGTTAAGTAGTGAGTGAGTTGCGTAAAGTTCGAATTGCGTAAAGTTCGAATTGCGTAAAGTTCGAATTGCGTAAAGTTCGAATTGCGTAAAGTTCGAATTGTCCACACTGCGATTTGTCCACATTTCAAATTACCCACAATTCGAATTGCTCACAATTCAAATTGCCCAAAGTTCGAAATTATTCGCACTTCGATTTGCCCAAAGTTAGAAATTATTCAAACTTCGAATTTTTCCAAAATATATTTTTTGGAATTATTTTTGTTCAAAATTATTTCTATTCGAAAGCTTTTTAACCGAAAATATCTACCTTCAGTATGATCGAAGCGTCTCTGCTCTAGAAAACGTCGCTAATTGCATTTGCGTTTGGCTGTATTTTAATGGCAAAATAATTTACAATAGTCTACTTTTATCGTTCAATTTTTTGCTGTATTTCTGGGGATACCTTCATAAAGAACAGAAACATATTAAAGGGGTTTTTGTGTTGATAGGGTCTTATTAATTGTACAAAATTATCTTCTTCTCTGACAGTATCAATGAATAAGTTACTACATAATAAATACAATGTTTGTTTTTGTAATAGTGACGACAAGATTCACCACGCCAACTACTCAAACATCTCTACCCAAGAGCACCCATTTGCAGAACTTTTCCACACGCGGCGCCTCAGTGGCCCCCGCGAATGCAGGCGTGGCCCCGCCTGCGGGTGACTTCTCTTCATCTGTTCCGCCGGTAGATGTCTCTACATCTGCCACATCATCTGTACCAGTAACAGGTTCGGCAGCAGGAACTACAGATGACAACGAAAATCCGTCAACGAAAAACCTCACAGTGCACATTGAGATTATGGTGGAACCGAAAATTCACCCAACACGAACTATACCCCACCCGTCAGGGCATATAACGTTTACTCATTATTTTCCAGACAACAACGCATCTCGTCCCCAAAATAGGTTTTTTAGTGGCAGTTTTCCACCAGGACATAGGAGAGGGTTATCCATTGAAAACTTGGTAATTGAACACCAGAAAATTGTGGAACAGACGAGTGGAAACGATTCTGTAGATGCAACTACTGACAGCCTCGAAACTACAACGATTAGTTCTATTGATGGTGTGATTGAGAAGAATGTGATAAGTGTACCTGATAGGAAAGAATCTAAAATTTCGAATGTATCTGCCGTGAATGTGACATATAGTGCCACGAACCAATCAGACCAGAAATTAATTGAATCAACGACTGTTTCAAGCACAAATAAATCTGAGGTTCACAATACTATCCCTAAAGTACCTGATGAAAACAATTCAGCGAATATTAAAAGAATAGTTAACATTAATGAAATACATACTCAAAACGGAGTGGTTGGTGCCAAAAATATTACTTCTGAATCTTCAAAAAGTAACACGAAAACACACAGAGAAGAGGTTATTATATCGCACAAGAAAACCTTAACTGAAGTTAAAAATAATGTTTTACCGAAGACAGAGATTCCTGAAGGAAAAAATGTGACAAATAACACTACTAATTATAGAAGTGGGGTTATAGGTTTCTCAAAAAATAAAAGTATTGTCGAAAACAAAGTTTCTAATTTTGCAATATCGGGTAGCAACAGTCACGACAATTTAACAAAAATTAACGTTCTTGCTAATTCTGTTAACATATCATCTAAAGTAAGTTTTACAAATAGTTCCAATAATGTAATATCTTCTGACGTACATGTTCATGATAACGAAATATTAAACCGTGAAAATGTTTCCTTGTTCACTAATAGTATAGACAACTCAACAGAAGTCTGTTGTGGAAATGCAACAGAAAACACGGAGAATTCATTGGATGTGGAAACTTCAGATTCGGATGCTGATGACTCTGAGATCACAGAAACTACAACAGATTCACACGCAACAGAACCAACCACAGTGTCTCCAAGTGAAATAGTTGCGAATCCACCAGACGGCAACAGCAGCAACCCTGAAATCAAACAGTTGAGAGTACACGAAAGCAGTGCCAACTCTACAAAAACAATTTTAAACAGCACATCTACATCAGATGTTATCGAAACAATTTCACTTTCTGGGAACGACACAGCTGCAGAGAAAATCCTCCCTAGCCAGACTGCTCCCGTTATCATGACGGAAGCGCCCAGTGTGAGTCCTACCAAAAGCGTGGACATCGGTGACGTCACGCGAACAGGACTTGTGCACGTTGAGACCACTGAAGATGGAGCAGCCTGGCACGCAGTTGGCAGCACAGACATCCTACACACCGATCCAGCCGCCCGAATCTTGAGTGGCGGCCCGTTCAGTGGTAGGTGTGTAGTATTTTTGAAGTGCATGCTTAATTTTCGTTATTGATGTAGTGTTAGATCTTATTTTTTATTTTATCTGATCGTCTTTGTAGGCTGTTTACTTACGTGTCCGGTGTCGGTGAAATTGCTCTTTATTACTGCTCTGTAATAAAGCAGCTATCGATTGTCACGATAAATATCAGCAGAACTGCTGCCGGCGAACTGAACAATGTAATTAATGCATACGAAAACATTATTTTATTGAAAAATGAAGGACTATACTTATAAAAACACTTGTACCTAATAATTTATTAACGAAAATATCACATTTACTCATTACAACCATACAATAACAATCTATAATTCATTTTCGAATACATTCCTACGAACCTGCATTAAGTACGTATTTTCTCTGCAAAATATGCTAATGTAATTTCTTTCTCTCCTCACTCCTTGAAAATGTATTCTTTACAATAAATATGTCTACATTTACTATGTGGTAAATCTTAGATAACTTTCACAGGTTCACTTTTCAAACTTACAGGAATTTCTTCCATTTTCTCCCAAAAGACAGCGATTTTCAACTCAGATGTATCCTCCAAGGGCTCCAATGTACCGCCGAAATCAATGTAATAATATTCATCATTATGCCTATCTATAAAAGAGAATTAGCCCGTAACGTTGCAAAGGCTACCGGATAAGATAAAATATGGTGTATTACACGTGGCTGAAATAGACCATTATGTGCAAGTTAGTTAATTATTCACGAGCGCGTTAGCGCGAGTGTATAATTACTGATAAGCACTGTGAGTACATGGGCCGCCAAATTAATTCAAATTGGGCGCCACGTTTCGGACAGATCAATTTCGCTTCTTTTTTAATGCATTTAAGAAGAAAATATAATACTTTTCAAACTTGCCGCTTTCGAGATAACCTAATTTGGCCCCAAAACCGCGCAAATTCTTTTCCAATTGGCCAAATACTAATTTTTGAGCAGAGCTCTATGAAATCGACCTCGAAAAATCACTAATAGGTTGCACCACCTCTGGTCAGCCGCGACAAAAGATTTTCCCATTGTCAAATTTCCAATTTTTTCCACATCAGACGCGACGAACTTGCATTGTTTGAAAATCAAAGGAGCTGCGACCAATTTTGTAGCGATCGTGCAGAGAAGCTAAACAATATGCGTATTGGGCGTATTAAAAGTTTGTAGTACTTTGGCAGTAAGCAATTTTCGTGTAGTTTCTTTGAACCAGCAACACGGAGTGAAAAAGCAGAAAGCATGAATGACGTGAAATTCGCTTGGAGAACGTTTATTTTCGTCCGGACAGAGGTAACCATGACAGTCTCTTCAACACTCATTGATTCTTACGGAAAAGTAATAATCTCTTTCTGAACTCTCTCGTCTGATGATAACAAGCAAGGCGATGCATAAAACGTCTCGTTGCAGTTTCTGCTAATGCTCTTCCAATCATCTAAGCAATATTTCGCAGCATCAACAACAAGTACTTAATAGTCTATTTCAGCCACTAATAAAATAATTCTATCATTCATTGTAGCTTCGTAAAGCATCGTTTATTTCGTTATACTTGACGAAATAAACAGTACATTTATTCTCAACTGAATTAAAGTTTTAACTCATGAATGTTATCTTACCATTTTATCTCGCCATCAGTTAGTGTTCTCAGACGTACTGTATTGGTGGTAATTTTTTTTATTCAACGAAAATATTCATTTTTTCATAGGGGAAATAATCAGTAAATACTGTAAAGGGACATTTTCAATATAAAATAAAATAAAAGTAAGAAAGTTATCGAGTAGTACTTTCCTAGGCACTTTCTTTAGAAATCTACAAAAAGAACATGATATTATTACAATATTGACATATTCTCCTTAACCTCCTTTTCTCAGAGATTTTTTTATTGACAGTTTGCGTAGGAAACTTTAGACAGTTTTTAACAATGCTTTGAGTGAAATACTCAGTGGCTTCGTCAATGACGTTAGCGAGTTTTAATGGCACGCAAAATCAAGGTTTGTATCAGACGCAAATCACTCAGTGGGGTTCAAGGTAGATTACCACAAGAGTAGGACAACTCCAGAAAGTAGTGGTTCTCGTACGTGAGTGATAAATCATGTTGTGATTTGCTCATCGATGTCGCATCACTAGTATAGTGGAACAGATTGGTTTATTTCAAGCGCATTAGTGTAGAGTTTAAAACGTAATCCATATCGCACCTCCAATAGAAAAGTGACACAAGTGCGAAATCCTCATTTTTCAGCTAAAGGCTGATGAAAGGTTACCAAGAGGTACTGCTACTATTCTGAAGTCGATTTTGAATGAGTTCAATTACTAGTCGCTAGAAGGTGAATATTTGGTACAATCTATAGCGAGTATTAGAGAACTACGAAACTTAAAATAGCAATTTCTGACAAATCAGAAATTTTCGCAATTGTGTCACTTTTCTATTGGAGGTGCGATACTCTTTACTCAAAAGCTAGGTTTTTTTTATTACGTACGTTCTGTTTGCAGCGATCCAAAACGTGTTTGATTTCTTCGCCTTGACGACCTCACAGCTGTCTGCAGGGATTATCACAGAACCTCCTATGCACACCACGGACGTCCATCTTGAGAACAATGAAGAGCCTGGTAACATCCCGAGCGACACGTCAAAGAAAAAAGTTGTGAATAGAGCGAAGTCAAAAAACGAGTTTAAGGAAGAGAAGAAAGAGAAGGAGAAGGCACAAAAAGTGAAGAAAAAGCAAAAAGTAAAGAAGAAAGATGATACAAATAAAACAGTCGTCGAAATATTTCAAGGTCAAGCAGGCAGTGCTGAAATTGAGGTAAGTTGCCTTCCATTCGTTATGATGACTGTTAACAGTTGCTTGTGGGTAACAAGGGGCCGGTTGGTCCGACTCCCAGGGTTGCCAGATTGGGTGGAATTCCGCTTTTTGGGTTGTGTGTGTATGTGTCTCTCTCTCCTCTCTCTCTCCTCTCTCTCTCTCTCCTCTCTCTCCTCTCTCTCTCCTCTCTCTCTCCTCTCTCCTCTCTCTCTCCTCTCTCT